AATAGTAAATATATTTATCTATATATGTATATGTACATATATATATGTGTGTGCAAGGATAATATAAGTGTTCGTGTATCTGCATATATGTCTGTATATATGTATGTATCTATACATATATGGATATATATATTTATATAGAAGTGTGCGTGAATATATATATACACATATGTATGTATGTGTATATATATATTCTGTATATAAATGATGATGTAGTATTGGAATATGTATAAGGACGCTTAATTAGTATTGAAGCATTTACCGCATGGTTGCATCGTATGCATTCACCTTAATTACTTTGTTAAAATCTGGAAGTTTCAAGAAATTTCAAATCAAGATGTTGCCAAGCATACCATAATCCTGCGTCCAAACGAAGGTGGGCATTGGGCACACTTCCAACTCGCGCCAAATAAAAGCAGCAGCAGCCGCCTCCTGATAATCACAACAGAAACAACACTCCGTGAGAGAACAGAGCAAGCTGTAGCTTAATCTACATTTCCACGAGACTTACGCTAGAGTAAAATGGAGAACAAAAATGCTACCACCCTTACTGAACAGAAACCGGAAGAATCTAAATGCAATGAGGATTCACTTCTCCCCATCGTTGAGAAGGGACTTTTCTTCCATGATTCCTTCTTCGAGGATATTCGGAAGCACTTTGAGACAGCCATCGACCAAATCCTGGATACGTGGGGAGAAGGCAAATCCGTTAGTGATCTGATGAGTAGCTACAGACGTGTAAGAGAGCGCAATTTGCAGCAAGAGAACCAAGTCATGGCCTTCAGCGAAGACGACCAGAATCACAAGGTTAGTTTTACGATCTAAAATTCATGTGGATCGCAAATATTAATATACACAAAAGAAAGAAGAAATCGTTAAAAAACTATCATTTTTTTTCCAGAAATGATGTAGGTCACGGAAAGAGATTATTTATATATAAGGAAAACATAAGAAAAATAGATAGTCTTAATTGATTCTATATACAGGTTGTACTGGATGTTCATGACTTCAAGAGTGGAGATGTTAAGGTTAGAGTGGAAGACAAGCAGGTGGTGGTGGAAGGTCGAGTGGAAAAGGAAGAAGATGACTTCAAGTCCATGAAAAGCTTCTATCGACGTTTCAGCTTCCCAGGCAAAGTGAACATAGAGGCCGTGACTTCCGCAATGTCTTCCGATGGCGTCTTGACTGTCACGGCTCCGAAGATTCCACAGGCAGCATAGCAAATCATAGTCCATTATCTGAAATTGTAATCTAATCTTAAATGTACGTTTAAGTAACAATATATTTTTCTTTAGGATAATGTTAAAGTGAATAAAGCTTTTGCTAATTTTAAAATAAATTATACTTGTTTACATGTGTCTATGATTTTATTTACCTTCCTTTTTCGCGAAAGGATAAAGAAAGAAAAAGAAAATCGACTGTCGCATAAATTGCATAACAGACGGTTCTTCGAAACTCATGAAGAAAAGGCGCAAGAGCCAAATGCAAAGAGGGTTCAATATTTGTGACCTGTGCTTCCATGATTCTTTTTCGAAACACTAGTAAAAACGAGAGCTTTATGTACAACATAAGACATAACCCTGATTAACCCTTTTAGGATACATGTACATTTAAAAGCATTACAGGTTAGTTGTTAGGATCACATGAACAAATAAATCAATGGATAGTTTTTGTCAGTTACCCATGCAGGAAATACTTGACATGTATAAGGAAATATATGTATGTTACAATTACATACATTATATACATATACACAAATGTATATACATATTGTCTTTTCACACAGTTATACATATACGTAGATACACATACACATATATACATATGTAGATATAATACATACATATATATATATATATACATATGAATAAAAAAATAAATGTGTATATATATATTTATATGTGCGCGCGCGCGTGTGTGTTTGTACTTATACTTATCTGTACACATGTATATTATAGTGTGTGTGTGTGTGTTTGTGTATATCTATACATAGGATGGCCATATAGATGATTCCACAGGCAGCATAAGAAAACATTTCATTAGCTGAAATTATAATCAAATCTTAAAAACAATGAATGCTAAAATGATGTTTTTTTTTTTTTTCTTTTTTTTTTTTTTTTTTTTTTTTTTTTTTAGATAATATGAAGACAAAAAATCATTTGCCTTTCTTTTCCGATTGTTATTGTTGCATGGCTTTCATTATAGATAGTCCCTTGAAACTTTCAGAAAAAAGTACTAAATGCAAAGAGGATTCACTTCTTCCTATTGCTGTGACCTGTTATTATATTATTATTTTTCAATATTAATTAAAATGGAACAATCGTCTCCCAAGTGCTTTGTGCAAGAAGAAACTTACATTCCTCTGAGTGACCCTTTAAGAAACAAATAACGTATTAAAGGGTTAGTTGTCAGTTTTACATGAGCAATTAATGAAATCAGTTTTTTTTTTTAAATATTTCCGAGGGAAAGTGTACATGGAAGCTATTAATTTACACACAAAGTATGTTTTTGCATGTGTGCGTATTATATATCTCTATATATACACACATGTATGTAATAAAGTATTGTATCGTATGGATTCATTTTAAATTGAGAGCTTCAAGAAGTTTCATACGAAGTTTTTGCCAAGTATTCCCTGACGCGTCCAGATGGAGGTGGAAAGTGGGCGCACACCCAACTCGCGCCACATAAAAGCATCAGCAGCCGCCTCTTGCTAGACACAATATAAACAACACTCTTTGAGAGAACAGAACAAGCTGTAGCTTTATCTACACTTCCAGGAGAAATATGGAGAACAAAAATACTAGCACTCTTAATGAACAGAAACCAGAAACTCCCAAAGAGGATTCACTTCTCCCAATCGTTGAGAAGGGACTTTTCTTCCATGATTCTTTCTTCGAGGATATTCAGAAGCACTTTGAGACAGCCATCGACCAAATCCTGGATACGTGGGGAGAAGGGAAATCCGTGAGTGATCTGATGAGTAGCTACAGACGTGTAAGAGAGCGCAATTTGCAACAAGAGAACCAAGTCATAGCCTTCAGCGAAGACGACCAGAATCACAAGGTTAGTTTTACCATCTAAAAATCATGTGGATCGCAAATATTCATATACATAACAGAAAGAAAAAATCGTTAAAAAACTGTAAAATTGAAGATATTCTCTTTCAGAAATGATCTAGGTCACGGAAACAGATTATCTAGATACAAGAAAAACACAAACAGATTTAGATATTCATTAAAATGAAAAATAAAAATAAAACCAAGGAAATCAAATACTCTTCATTAATTCTATATACAGGTTGTGCTGGATGTTCATGACTTCAAGAGTGGGGACATTAAGGTTAGAGTGGAAGACAATCAGGTGGTGGTGGAAGGTCGAGTGGAAAAGGAAGAAGACGACTTCAAGTCCATGAAAAGCTTCTATCGACGTTTCAGCTTCCCAGGCAAAGTGAACATGGAGGCCGTGACTTCCGCAATGTCTTCCGATGGCGTCTTGACTGTCACGGCTCCGAAGATTCCACAGGCAGCATAAGAAATCATATTCCATTATCTGAAATTGTAATCTAATTTTAAATGTACGTTTAAGTAACAATTTATTTTTCTTTAGAATAATGTAAAAATGAATAAAGCTTTTGCTGTTTTTAAAATAAGTTATACTTGTTTACATGTGTGTATGACTTTACTTCCCTTCCTTTTTCGCGAACTTATCGAAAGAAAAAAAATCGACTGTCACATAAATTGCATAACAGATAGTTCTTCAAAACTCTTGAAAAAATGCGTTCCAAATGCAAAGAGGATTTACTTACTGCAATCTGCTCTTCTATGGTTAACGGTTTAAACAAATGAATGTGCTATACCTGTGCTTCCATGGTTAATGGTTTAATTCGGGGGTCGGCAACCTCTGGCTCGCGAACCAGACTTGTCGCACACAATGCTTGTGTATAGTACACCGCGTGATTCGAAGGAATAAAGAAAAAAACAACAACAACAGAATAACAGAAAATGAGAGAGATAATTATATAATGAATTAAAACGAAAATGTTTCGTAACCGCGATAAGGTAAGTTTGGGTACAACGAGATTTAGACGAGTATGAGACATACCCAAGCATTGGTGCCGCCTCAGTAATGCAGCACTGCTGTTTCAGTGACTAGTCGCCATGAGTGACACTCTAATTATTTTCGTCATGGCTACAGCGAAAAAGCAAAGCTTGATATCAGATAATTTCAGTCATGGATAAATAAATAACTAGTCACTGGATGCTTGCTACTGAAGAAATGTGTTGTGATTCTCTATATATATATACATATATATATATATATATATGTTATAATTATATATATATGTCATGTTATAATTATATATATATATATGCCATGTTACAATTATATATATGTGTTATGCTATAATTATATTTGTATATATATTCATACTGATACATACACATATGTATATATATACATATATATACATGCATACATACACATATATATAAAAATAAAAAATGTATTTATATACATACACACACACACACACACACACACGTGTGTGTGTGTGTTTGCATTTATAGTTATCTTTACACATGTATATTTATAGTGTATGTGTTTGTGTGTCTTTACATATATAAATGATGATGGACGATTTCAGTATAAAAAAAACATTTCATTAGCTGAAATTATATTCTAATCTTAAAGGCAATGAATGTTAAAGTGATTGTTTATCGTTGTTATTGTAATGAAGTAAAAAAACTTTTTTTTTTTGTCTTCCTTTTTCGATTGTTATTGTTGAATGGCTTTCTTAACAGATATTCCCTCGAAACTTTCAGAAAAAAATAAAGTACCAAATGGAAGGAGAGTTCACTTCTTCCGATTGCTTTGACCTGTGATTCTATGATTATTTTTCAATATCAATCAAAATGGAACAATCGTCTACCAAGCGCTTTGTGCAAGAGGAAACTTACATCCCTCTGAGTGACCCTTTAAGAAATAACAAATGATAACGTATTAAAGAGTTAATTGTCAGGTTTATATGAGCAATTAATCAAATTACTGTATTTTGTATGTTTCCGAGGCAAAATGTACATGGTAGCTATTAATTTTGCAGGAAATATATGAAATTATATGGGCACAGGAAGATATACTAAGTAGATATATATGTAAATAGACATACATCCATATATATACATGCATATATATATATATATGTGTATACGCACACACATGCACATCTCTGCATACATTATATACATGTGTATATACAAACATATATTTGTATATGTTTATATGCATTTATATACACACAGACACACATATATGTATGTTACATATACACACATGTATATAATATATACATATATGTGTGTGGTGAACACGCTGCTGTGTATATTTATATGCGTGTTTGTGTTTGTGTATATAAATATATGAAAACATATATACGTATGTGTGTATAAGTACACTCACGCACACACACATATATATGTATATATATGTATACAGATATTCATACACACACACAATCATATGTGTGCACGTATATAGTCCCTTTGCATATATGTAGATATATGTAGATACAGATAAACATACACTATATGTAAACATACATTGTCCTTATACACACAAAGTATGTGTGTATGTGTGAACGTATTTGTATGATATATCTTTATATATACATGTATGTGTATGTGTTTGATGTATAAAAATAATATATACATGTTTTTGTGTCTGTATGTAAATGATGCCCCTGTAGATGAAGAAATATATAAATAAAAATACGCATAGTTAGTAATAAAGCTTTAACCATATGATTTTATCGTATGCATTAATTTTAAATTGAGAGCTAGAAGTTTCAAGAAATTCCAAATGAAGTTGTTGCCAAGTATTCCGTGACGCGTCTAGATGGAGGTGGAAAGTGGGCGCACACCCAACTCGCGCCACATAAAAGCATTAGCAGCCGCCTCTTGCTAGACACAATATAAACTACACTCTGAGAGAACAGAGCAAGCTGTAGCTTTATCTACATTTCCACAAGACGTACTCTACTTTATTAAAGTGATAAAAGCAAGAGAAATATGGAGAACAAAAATACTAGCACTCTTAATGAACAGAAACCAGAATCTCCCAAAGAGGATTCACTTCTCCCCATCGTTGAGAAGGGACTTTTCTTCCATGATTCCTTCTTCGAGGATATTCGGAAGCACTTTGAGACAGCCATCGACCAAATCCTGGATACATGGGAAGAAGGGAAATCCGTGAGTGATCTGATGAGTAGCTACAGACGTGTAAAAGAGCGTAATTTGCAGCAAGAGAACCAAGTCATGGCCTTCAGCGAAGACGACCAGAATCAAAAGGTTAGCTTAAGTATTTAAAAATAATGCAGATCGCAAAACACCAATTCTAATAATCATATACATAAATAGAAGAAACAATCGTTAAAAAAAATCAAATTGACGGTAAGGATTTTTTCAGAAATTATCTAGGTCACGGACATTATTTAAAGGAAAATGAAAAGAAAAACAAGGGAAAACAAATACTCCTCATTGATTCTATATACAGGTTGTGCTGGATGTTCATGACTTCAAGAGTGGAGACGTTAAGGTTAGAGTGGAAGACAATCAGGTGGTGGTGGAAGGTCGAGTGGAAAAGGAAGAGGACGACTTCAAGTCCGTGAAAAGCATCTATCGACGTTTCAACTTTCCAGGCAAAGTGAACATGGAGACCGTGACTTCCGCAACGTCTTCCGATGGCATCTTAACTGTCACGGCTCCGAAGATTCCACAGGCAGCATAGGAAATCATATTCCATTATCTGAAATTGTAATCTAATTTTAAATGTACGTTTAAGTAATGATTTATTTTTCTGTAGGATAATGTTAAAATGAATAAAGCTTTTTCTATTTTTAAAATAAATTATACTTGTTTACATGTGAGTATGACTTTACTTGCCTTCCTTTTTCGCGAACCTCAAAACTCTTGAAGAAAACATGTCAAATGCAAAGAGGGTTCACCATTTGTGACCTGTCTTTCTATGATGATAATATATACATATACTTATAAATAAACAAATAAATAAATGAATATATACTTGTGCGTGCGTGCGTGCGTGTGTTTGTACTTATACTTATCTGTAGATATGTATATTTATAGTGTATGTGTGTGTCTATACATAAGATGGCCACATAGATGATTCCACAGGCAGCATAAAGCATTTCATTAGCTGAAATTATAATCTAATCTTAAAGACAATGAATGCTAAAGTGATTGTTTATTTTAGATAAAAGAAAAAAATAGTTTTCCTTCCATTTCCGATTATCATTGTTGCATGGCTTTCATAACAGATAGTCCTTCGAAACTTTCAGAAAACAAGTATCAGTGCACCTGTGTTTCCATGATTATTATATTAAAATGGGACAATCGTCTACCAAGCGCTTTATCAAGAGTGACCCTAGGTCACGCAGATTATTTAGATAGTCATTAAAATGAAAATGAAAAAGAAAAAGCTTTTGTCGACGCTTCAACTTCCCAGGCAAAGTGGCTATGGAGGGTGTGACTTCTGCAATGTCTTCTGATGGCGTCTTGACTATCATGGCTCCGAAGATTCCACAGGCAGCATAAAGAAATATTTACTGAGCAAAAATTACGATATAAGTTAAAATATAATGTATGTCTATTTGATTTGAAGACTGTAGAAATGAAGTTCATTTATTTGTGTATTATTTTTTTAATAAATCGT